CCGAGAGTCCGACCCGGGCACAGCTCCCTCACGGGTCCTCCGGCAGCGGCGGCGGCAGCGGCGGCGGCGGCGGAGGAGCCCACCGCCCGGGCCCCGATGAGTAACTCCCGGAATAACCGGGTGATGGTGGAAGGGGTCGGGGCCCGGGTAGTGCGCGGCCCGGACTGGAAGTGGGGGAAGCAGGATGGCGGGGAAGGCCATGTGGGCACGGTCCGGAGCTTCGAAAGTCCCGAGGAGGTGGTGGTGGTGTGGGACAACGGCACGGCCGCCAACTACCGCTGCTCCGGGGCCTACGACCTGCGCATCCTGGACAGCGCGCCCACTGGTAAGTCATGGCCACCTGGCCCGGGGCCTGCGCGCGAGGGGGGCAGCGGCGAGGCTGGGTGGGCGTCGGGGCGCCGAGAAGCCGGCGGTGGAAAGGGAAAGAGCCGCCACGAATTTTAGGTTCACTGCTCTGTAAACAAAAACTGGCTTTAAAGACCCCGGTACCCCCGAGGGACTTGATGGCCAGACGTACAATCACCGGGATGCTTTCAAGCCTGCGAGGCACAAAGCGCCGGGAAGACAACAGACAGTTCTCTAGTGAAGGTGGCTGGAGAAGCCTGTCTAATAAGCCATTGAAATTCATCAGCCACTAAGTGATAACTGCCTGGCCATATGGTGTTTAGTTGATCGGTTACAATTGCCGAGGGGCTGTTGGTTTCTCAGATTTGTTGAGATTTTTTTTCTTCTTGTTTGGCCCCTTCTAACACACAGACTTGGAGTAAAGTGCTCCGTGGGACCCTGTAAATCAACTTTTCATATGGATTGCTTAATTTTTATTGTTTTTAACAATATGGAAAAAAGTCTAAGTTATCGAACCATTTCTTTATGTTAAATACTTTTTCCAAATGGAAGTTAGGGAACATCTGATTTTTTGTTGTTGTTATTGTTAACATTCATCTCACATGTAAGGTTATGTCACAGACTTATCTATTAAACAGCAGTGAGTCAGCCTCGATTCACAAATTTTTCAAAGATGTTTGTTAGTGACACTAGAATTCTAATATATAAACTGAAGGGGTCCTTTCACAAAGTAAGGATCTAGTTTATTTTAGTCTAATTCATTTTTATAGTTTTATGTTTACCACTATTCAATAGATTATGTTTACCACTCTATTCAATAGATTATGTTTACCACTCTATTCAATAGTTCAGATTAAAAATTTGATACTATTCAGAGTGTATAAGTAAGCTTCTTCTAAAACTATGAAAGAGCTGGGCAAAGCTTAAATCTGAAGTGGATTCTTGGTTATTGTTAGCAGCAATAAAATGGAAGTTAATACAGCCCAACTCAGATTTTTTTAAAAGATAGATTATTTATATTTTTTAATATTTATTTTCATTGACATCTTCTGCATTGTGTATTCTCCATAAAATTCTCACCACCAGTTCACTCGTGAATCGTCATCATAGTAGTCCCTTGTGCTCTTCTCTTCCTGCCCTGATCCCTCTCCTTCCATCTCATAATGTCTCTTACCCATGGTTGCCAGATAGTTTTGTTTTATTATTATTATTATTGCTATTCCCCCCCCATCTGGTTTCCCCTAGATTCCTCCTAAAAGTGAAACCATTTGATATTTTTCCTTTTCCTTTCCAACTTAGATTTTGAACAGATATTTCATAAAGTTATGTTTGTTAGCTAGCCTTTTAAATATGGAAAGCATGTATATACCAAAAAAGTCGGGGGAGGGCAGTTATAAATTTCTTTTGTTTCCTTACAGAATATTCATTATAAGCATATATATTAATATACTGTAAATACACACTTCCTTTTAAGCACAGATGGTAAATTGTAATCTCTTCTACACTTTTTCTTTTTTTAAAAGATTTATTTATTTATGCATACTAGAGCTGGGGTGTAAGCCAGAGATGAGAGGGGTGAGAGGATTCACCTGAGTCAGAATGGGGAGCAGAACTGGGATTAACTGAAATACACTACTGAGGGGAGCACTGGGTGGGTCAGGAGAGGTCTGCTCTGCCAGGTGGGCCACCTTCCTGGCTGGGGTTGAACTCTTGCTGCAGTGGCCGCAGATTGCTCCATAAAGCTGTGTCTTAACCCCTTGTGCCCCCAGGAGGCCCCTCTTCTGCACTATTGCTTTGTTTACTAACATATAGTGGTAGCACATGTCTTCTACCTTATTCTTTCATAGCTGCATGGTTTTCTGGTGACTATGTGTAGTAATTTATTTAACCAGTGCTTTATTGATGGGTATTTATATGGTTTCATGTCTTCTTATTTACAGTGACACAGTTAATAAATCTTTCTACGTATATCCTTATGTATATGTACTTGGTATTACTGAAGTGGAATGGCTGCATGTAGGGTCACATATTTAACATTGATAGAGACTGACTAGTTGTCTTCCCAAGGCATTTTACCATTTTTGCAATTTCAGCCATACTGTATGAGGCACAGTCCTTCCTGCACACTCTTAAAACTTTATCATACTACTTCCAGCTAAAGTTTGACTATGGTTGAATAATTTGGAGGCATCTTGGATCAGTAATTGTCAGTATGGGGAAAAGAAAATATCTTTCCAGCATAAAGATAAAGAGTACCAAACCTGTACTACAGTGAATTTTGAAGGGATTGATGATAATGATGTCTATATCACTATAGTGTGGAGTATATCTGTCATATAAGTAACCTCATTTTCTTATGTAAATGTATTTTTTAGAAGTAATGCTTAGGATCTTAGTTTAATTTATAGGATAATTTTGTACATTAATTTGTTGTGTGTAGCAATTTATCGTGTTAATTTGATTCATTTAGCAAACATTAAAAAGCTCTTCTAGATATGAATAACTTTCATATGAAATGCTTGTTGAAATTTATTTTAATTTCTGTAGTCTAATTTCTACATTGTCTTTTAAAGGACTAAATGAATAACAAACTATTGGCTCTGTTTTTGCCCCAGGACTGTAATGCAACTTTAAATGTTTTTCTTTTCTAAGTTTTTTTTCTTCAAAATATTTACTAATAGGTGTCCACTATTAGGTTAACTAGTATATTTATTAAATTCAGTGCTTGATATCTGTTTACATAATAATAAAATTAAAAAAATTAACCTTTCATTCTGATATAGTTTTAGGGTTGTAAAAAACTAGAATATTAAAAGAGTTTCCTTTTACCCTATTTTCTTCAGTTGTTAACATCTTTACAAAGTGTAGTTGATATTAGGAAAATAGCATTAGATATTATTAAATAGTCCATTTACCTTACTGGTATTTCAGTAGTAGTCCAACTCATGTCTTTTTTCTGATTCAGGATCCAATCCAAGATTACACTTTGTATTTACTTGTCTTCTAGTTTTCTCCCATCTGGACCAGTTCCTCACTTATTCTTTGTCTTTCATGACCTTGACACTGACCAATAATTTTATAGGATATCCCTCACTTTGGGTTTGTCAGCTGTTTCCTCATGATTAAATTCAGATGATGTTCTTTGACAAGAATACCATAGAAGTGACATTTTGCTCCTATCAGGAAGTACATACTACCTAGGTCTCATTAAAGAGAGTGGTAACTTAACTTAGAAACCAGCAGTTTTATTCATCTTTGCTTTATATTATCCAGCAATATAATATAATGTAGTATAATGTCAACATGAAAAAGGCATGTAATGTCTTGTTATGAAAATACTGTTAACATCATGAAACCCCTCAAAGGATTTTAGGCATCACCCTAGATTTAAAAACCATACTTTGAAAATCATTGACTTGGAGAGAATCATTGACCATCAAGGGGCTTTTATAAGAATGTTCACAGCATATTGTATGTAAAGCAAAAAATTGGGGAAAAAATTTGTATGCATCACTAAGGAATAGGTAAATGAACTGGGTGAATTTTTTCAGTAGATGTCTGTATAGGTAAGAAAATTTACGTTAAGCAAATAAAGCCAAAAAATAAAGTTTTTCCTAAAAGAGTACAGAATTACTATTTATTGTTTAGACTAGGGCTCCCCACTTTGGCATAATGGCTGCTTTGGACTGGTTAGATAATTCTTTGTTGCAGGGAGCTGTCCTGTGCTTTGTAGCCTGTCTCTAGCCACTAGTTATAGTTGTGATAATCCAAAATCTTTTCAGACTTTGCCATATATTCTTTGGGGGCAGAATTACCCCCATTTGATAGCTATGGTTTAAGGATAGGTGTATGTGTGGTAAAAGTGTAACAAAAAAGTAATAGTAACTACCAAGGTCAAGGGAGTAGATAGATATCTTTCAGCTGAAGCAAGTGTAGTGTCTTGATGGAAGTATTCTAAAGGCTTTAACAGACATTCTGATTTATATCTTAAACTGAGTGTTACATTTTAATTCTTTTTTTGTGTGTGTTTAACATGTTTCAAAGTTGACCTTTTTTTTGGTCTTCTATTTGCCAAGATAACTAAGCTTGTCTTTGATTATTCTTTGTTTCTTATAGTCACATTATAATACTAGAAAGTTTATTTAGTATGTATGGGAATTAAATGGGTAACCTTTAAAATAAAGCTTTGTGAAACTTTTCTGAGAGCTAAGGATCCTTGAATAATTTGGTCTTTGTGAATCTTTGAGATAATCCCTCATCCTGTGTTAAAGATATTTGTCTGGCAGTTTAATGTGTGGTCTGCAATATTTTGACATTTAAACTTTTTTCTTTCATGTGACAGCCATGGTAATTTTGACTTTGTAATGTATGTAGGTTAGTCAAAACTTGAGAAGCATTTAGAATATATTGGAATGATATAATTTCTATCTTATATTCAGATATGTTTTTAAATATGTGTAAATATATGTGATTGTTGAATTAGTTTGGAATTTATGAAGTCTGTAATCAAGTAGGTATAGTTAACAGGTCTACCTGTTAACATTCACGTATTGATTTTATAGGATTTGGAGGCAAAGAATATATTTTTACTTGTGAGTAGTTGATTACAATGTTGTCGTTACAAAAGAGTGGAGAAAACGATTTGAATTTTCTATGTTCTTCTTCCCTCCTAGATATGAATAATAAAATGTTAGCTGGTTTATTCAAAACTAGCTTATAGTAGTTGATCCAAGCTGTTCTAGAGGCAGTTCTTTGTCCTTCATTTACTCCCAAAGAGTGCTTCTTAGGTTACATGTGGAAAAACTCTTTAGGTATCAGTATTTAGTTGAATATTTAAAAGTGCTTACCCTGGATAAAGAATGAAATGTATTGAAGCCCTTAGTTTTTCATTTATGAGACTTTCTCTTTTCCTTCTGATCTGTTTCTAGAACTACAGGAGAAAAGAGTTATGTAAGGGGCAGAGCCTTAGAAAAAAGGACT